TGAATGTTTGCCAAATTCTTTCCTTGCTTCATGACATTGTTTACAGAATGACTATTTGCACAAAGTCAGTGACTTTGTAGCAATCAAATTAAACAGTCGTATAGAGTGAGTTCCTTTTTTCTCCGAGTGAAATGTCAGTTGGTAGAATAGTACAAGAAGAGACCTGCACATTCACCCAGTAACGTGGTCGATTTGGACGAAGACGCTGGGGCACAGATGCCAAGTGATCAGTGATGGAGCGACCCCGTGGGGGCAGATGGTTGGTGGTGCTTTGCATTCCTGACCATGTGCCCTACTCACCCTGTGACGTGAGGTTCTCTAATGGCAGCTTTTGCTCATTTGTCATAGGTTGCAGAACACCCTGGAAAAGAAGAATTTTGTTCCCCTCCCTATACTCACTATGAAGTTCCTCCAACTTTCTATCGATCGGCCATGCTCCTCAAGCCCCAGTTGGGATTGGGTGCCATGTCGCGTTTACCATCTGCAAAGAGCAGGATCCTGATTGCGAGTCAGAGGTCTTCAGCCAGTGCCATCCACCCACCAGGACCCATAGCGACAGCAGCCAGTCTCTACAGCTCTGACCCTGCAGGTAATGCACTCAACAATCGCTGCTTTTTCCTGCTGTACTTTTAAGTGGTAATCATCTAAGGTGGTAATAACTGCCTATATCATGAATGCCTGACCCCATTTCAGAGGAGCTGTTTTATGTTTTTCCATTTGATTGTAGATGCAGACATTTGCCAAGACCCATCTATTTGCAATGTCATCCTCCATCTCACCTTCGGATCAATGGTTCCTGTCACCCCCTCCTCACTTCGTATAATTTTCCCCTTCTCTCCTATAGCCTAGAGACCAGGATACACAACAGTTTTTCTGCAAAGGGACAGATAGTAAATAATTTAGGCTTTCTGGGCCATAACCAGCTATGATGGAAGTACTTAGCATGAAAGCAGCCACAGACGATACGTGAATGAATGGGTGCGGCTGTGTTCCTGTGCACCTTAATTTTCAGAAACAGTGGGCTGGATTTGGCCTGCAGGCTGTGGTTTGGCAGGTCTTCCTATAGTTCAGGACTGGCCATATCACTCTGCTCACCTGTTCACCCATTTCGAACACCCCATAGTTGCCTGCAGAACAGCCCTGCCCTCTTGCCCAGCCCCGCCCTCTTGCCCAGCCCAGCCCTTTTGCTCTGCAGTGGCTGCCCACCGTCATCTCCTTCCTAAGTTCTCTGCACTTTTCTGTCTTTCTCCCTCCATTCTGCTCGTGTGGCTTCCTCTAGGTTTTATGGGTCATTTTATTATAGAAATAATACATATGCATTTAAAATATTTTGAGTATAGAAAAACATGAAGAACTAACAATACTTACATCTTTAGCCCACACCCAGAGTTAATATGGTGGGATTATTTTCTTCCAGTGTGTTTTTTCTGTGCATTTTTCAATAGTTGAAATAATATTGAATGTGAATGTTGTTTTTTCCTACCAATATCATATTATAGGCTTTTCCTATGCCATCAGTGTTTCAGAAATATTTCAGAAAATATTTCAATGAAATTTTTCAGAAATATTTCAATGGCAGCATAATATTCTGTTCATTCATTTATTCATTTATTCGACACATTTGGGGTACTTAGGTGTAGGAGTTGTAAAGTGAAGACTGCAGCAGTAAACAACACAGAGGGCTCCTGCTTCATGCAGCTTACAGTCTAATACTTGACAGAGACAATAAAAAAATAAGCACAATAATAAATATATAACTTTAAACTGTGGTAGTTGTTACAGAAGCAAGGAACAGTGTTTTGAGAAAATGCAAGCAGAAAAGTTATATAGATGGTACAGAGGTGCACAGGGCACCTCTCTGAGGAAGTGGGAGGAATGGGTGACAGTGGGAAATAACATCAGGAGTTATTTAACCACTGTCCAGCTGCTGGCTGTTGGGTCCCACATACTCTACAGTGTTCCCAGTAATGTTGCACTGGAATCTTTGTGTACACTTACTTGTCTTCTTTCATATTGTTTTCTAAGGATACATTATTTGGAACATATGTGTTAATTATTGGATAAAAGCATATCCAAACATTTTTTACAGAGAACTAAATTTCTAGAAAACACAGAACTATTTTCATATTAATGTTTCTTGAGAGCCCTTCTTCTTGCCACACCCTTGCCAGTATTGAGTATTAGCATTATTATTACTACTGTTGTTTACTATTACTGTGTTTCTTTTCTTACGAGTGGAAGGAAGGCACTATTTTCATCTTTTGGCCATTATATTACTTTGTGAAATGTCATTTACTCAATTAATTGATGATCTTAATGGGTAGTTTTTATTTTTTGACAAACACTTCCATAAAAAAATCAAATCATGTTTTGATGGTTCCCATGATGTATATGTGTGTTGTGATGAACATACCTGTTACCGCAGCTGCCACAAGTTACTTATGTGATTCAGTCACTCAACAGTTGTTACTGAGGGACTGTGATGTATCAGGGCTGGTCTCCATTTGGGGCATAAAGCAGTGGCAACAGACAAACAACCTTGGACTGTGGAGCTAAATTTCAGAATGGGGGTTGGGGGAGAGATTTTTTAGTAAATAAATTGTATGGTGTATCAGAAGAAATAGGGAAAATTTATAGAAGATAATGAAATATTAGAGAAGGGGAATAGTTGGTTTGGAACAGGGAGGAGGGAGATGACAGTTTCGAATAGTGTCGTTGGAAAAAGCCTCCTTAAGGAGATGATCTTTAAGCTAATCCTCAGAGGAGGGGAGGGAGGGAACCATGTGGATCTTGGGGTGGGGCATTCCAGGCAGAGGAAGGAGCCAGTGCAAAGGCCCTGAGGTGGAAGGAAGGCCAGGGGTGCCAGAGCAGAGTAAGTACTGGGCAGAGTGAGTAGTAGGGGATGAGGATAGAGAGGTGGTTGGCACTGGGGGAAGTTGCAGAAGGCCTAAGAGTCATTGTAAGGATCTGACTCACATTCTGAGTGAGAAAACCATTGGAGGGTTTGGAGCTGGGGCAGTGTGATCTGCTTTTTATATAAACAGGAATCTGTCTGAGGGGAGAAAGGCTGAGGCAGGGAGAA